GGGTTGAGTCAAAAAATGATTGGCCTAATGCCGTTGAAATCAATATGATGTATCGTTTTGCTTGTAGATAGGTGAGGGTGGTCCGATTGACTTGAAGCAGGTCGCGACGTCAACAACCCACAACACATGTGAGATAACTCAGGTATTGGGCCCAATGAGAAGGCCATCTGTCTGAGATCTCGAAAAGCCCCCAAAAGATAACAGTCACGCTCAAGGCCCCCCAAAGTAAGATACTTGCCCCAAATGATATCCCAGAAACGTGTGCGTGTGTGTGTGTGTGCCGCAGCCCTTTGGGTCCAGCCCGTTCATCTCAGGAAGATGATGTTCGATGAACGAACTTGATGATTTGATTGAGGATGAATTGGACTTTTCTCGTGGTGAACTGGGCGATTTGATTCAGGATGAACTGGACGATTTGATGCATGGTGAACTGGACGATTTCATTCAAGATGAACTCGACACGGCGCCAGCGGAGTCGGAGCCGCCCCGAGATGCTCGCAGTCCTCGCCCACTGGATCTCGAGTTGGCAGACCTTGCACATGCCAGGCCGATGGTGTCAGCCGCGCGGGATACTCGTGGCCGACCGCCAAGAAGGCCTCTCTAAACCACCAGGTCTAGCCTTGCAGCGCAGCAGCCAGTCTCTCAGGACGACCCAGCACAGCTGGTCATGCATTACGCCGACGTCGTACAAGTGCCAGCAGATGTCCCAGATGTGCCATATGATTTGGAAACCATGTTACGAATCCGCTACATCGAGTTTCTCCCCAGCCCCGTGTGCCAACACTTGGAGCAGTTTGTCGGTCTTGCGTTGACACCTGGGACGCGTCTGGATCCGAAGTCTGCGCACCTTGCGAGAAACCTTCTGAGATATGATATAAGTACCGCCCAGAGGCATTTAGAAGTTCTGGCCCACGACTCGTCCATGCACCCTGTTACGGCATCCAGGCACAGGACTCTTCTTGCGCAGATTTGTTGGGATCTAGATGTTTCGAGTAGGCTTAGCTTCGATCGGGCACTGATTCGTTCACCACAGTTTTCAGCATTACACTTGTGCGAAGTCGACATGTACGACGAGACTCCGATGCCAGTGCGGTTGAGGGACAGGATCGAGGAACTTCGAAATGAGGAAATGTTTCGTGGTTTTCAGCAGTCATCCTTGTGGAACTGGAGCGATGGCGTCATTCGGTTCTCGGAGTCTGGCCCCGCGAAGCTGTTCCAAGTCGAAAGTGTTTGGGGAGCATTGGCATCGATCGAGGACCAGGGGGCCGTTCGATTCATCATGTTCACGGGAAAAGCACTGTCAAATCTCCAAGTGTTCGACCGAGTAACTGGGGAGACAACTCGCCAAGGGCTCAGGCAGATCTGGACGACATCTCACATGTGCACGGAGTACGGTCAGCGTACCCGCGGATCTGTCACGGACCGAGGGGCCGCGAATGGAGCCGCCGAGCGTGGAATTAGATGTGACAATCTTGGCTGGCAACACTTGCACTTGGACTGCCGCGCCCATCTCGCAGCGCTCGTGTTTGGCAAGGCGTGTTCGGCGTGTGAATGGCTCGTCACGGGCATGATCAGGACCGCGCTGGCTACGCACATGGCGGGGTCCATGAGCCATTTCAGAAGATGCTTGAAGTTGCAGATTCGTTCGATGGTGCAATTCACTACTGGGGAGCCTCCAACGGAATACGGCTTGCATGTGCGACGCGTTGTAGCTATGTACGGGAGGTCTGGTCACAACCTAGTTCAACGACTTGTGGTGTTGAGAATGTTACCCAACGGCGATTGGACGGACAAGGCTCGCATCGTCATCTACGCGCCTGCGTTGCCGCGGGATGATGCCCAAGCGAAGCTCTGGACTGATCGCATTGTCGCTGGCTTGTGCTTCGCGGTGTGCCCACCCGCGTTCAAGAAGTTCTCTCGGAACAGGTGGTTCGGCAAAGAGGTCAGTCTCGACCAAATCGGATTGCTGGAGCATTGCCACGGCCTTTTCTCGAGCACGTTCAGGAGGTGGGTATCGGAAGTGGACGGCGACCAGAAGAGGAAGCGGACCGCAGCTGCTTCTGCAGGTCCGTTCGCTGCCCCTGGAGTCCCTGGAGATCAGCCAGTTCTTGCCCTTTGCGACGCCCCAGGGGATGCCTTTGCTGATCCTGGCGCAGATGGTGCTGGCGACGGTGGCCCGCCCCTCGGCCACGAGGATGCGCAGCCACAACGTCCAGACGATGCCGAACGCGTGGTGGTGGAGGTGAACGCCCACGAAGCCCGGGAGCGTGTAAACTCTGAACATCGAAGGCGTGCTATGGTCTTCGCGAGTACCGAGTTTCTGCATCACTTGGACGTCATGCGGATCGTCATGGTCCCAATCATGGAGATGTTCAGGGAGTTCGATTTCCTCGGCGGTGATGCTTGGGAGGAACGCCAGAGAGCGGTTGAAGCTGAGGCGCTTCGCCTCGGAGTTGGTGCGGAGGCTGCTCAAGCTCGGAGGACATATCGTATCGTTGTGTGTGCCAAGGGGTCTGTGGAACAGACTTTCTTCAATAAGCTGAAGTTCCTGTACAATTCATCGATCATGTGGCGAACCATTGAGGGTAAGCACTGCACTGAGTTGATCAATGCGTATGTATTCAAGACCATGTCTCGAGCTGGTGCCAAGGCCGAGTGCGAGATTGCTGCTCTGCACAGGCGTTACCCCTATCGCGCGTTCTTGCTCATAAGCGATCCAACCATAGCAGACGAGATGATCCGCGAGCCCGACTGCATCGCGGACCCTTTCTGGAGAGAGTTTCGGAATGCGAATCCAGATTTGAAGTCTCCGAGTACAAGGGCTCGGCTGGTGCTCTTGGCTTTACTGCGCGTCCCAAGCATCGTGAGGATCGAGGCGCTCCACGCTTCTATACGGCAGATTCTCAGGTCAAGATCGGTGACTGACATGGCGAGCTTCCTAGATACATCCAGCGATTTCTTGTTGAAACGACTTCGGAGGCGAGAGAGGGCGCTGCCGATCCAGCGTGAGATCTACTTGCCAAACGTGCCTCTTCACGAAGCCTCTCGAGTTGTTTCAGAGCCTGGTCGTCGTCGTGGAGGTGGTGGGGCATGGAGGGCCTACACTTCTTCCACAGGCCGTGGCCAGGTCAGGGACTTCCATGCGCTTGCCGCCCAGTACAGGGCCATCACCGACGAGGAACGCGAGTACTTCAGGAGGCTCGGCGCAGAGGGCACGCAGAAGCATTCCGAGACTCCCAACGGCCGAAGCTTCGGGCCCACTGTCAGGGATGTGGAGAGGGCGGCAGCTAGATCACAGAAGCATGATATGTGCGAAGCCTTACTGCGTGACATACAACGTGATGAACTTCAGAGGGATGCATCGCTGGCCATTGCGGACTCCGTTGTCGCCAGGAGCCGTTCGTGGCAGGATGGAGAGCACCTGGCGAAGATGGCGAAGAAGACTTTGAGCGAACACACGTCCAAGAAACGAGAGGATGAGCGCATGTCAGTCAGGGCAAGGACCGCTTGGCGTCTGTGACTGCAAGGCTGCAGGGAGCTCCATTTATTGCACGACACCTGGTACCATCTCCGAGCCCAGCCGACAACCAGGAGTTCCTTTACGCACCAGATACGATCAGTCGTGCATCGAACGCCCTCGCTTGCATGTTGCATCGAAGGGATTCCAACGGTCGCTCCACATGTCGACTTATTGATGCTGAGTCTCGCAGGCGGCATTTCATGATTTGCCACAGGGATTGCGACAAGTGCCCGAAGGAGACCAAAGATGAGAAGAAGCTCAGGGAGTGTCTCACGGCAGGCCGCTGCATCCACCATTGTCCAGGCGGCAAGCGGTTGCGCTCCTTCGGGCTCGGAGTCCACAACATGTTGAAGATGCTGGTGCGCACTTGCAAGCAGAAGGTCTTGGACGGTGATTTTTTCATGGCGTTCATTGGGACTGACCTCGATGATATATATCCTGATGACCGCCAGCCTCTCGCCGAGGTGCTGGACAGGGTCAAGGTCGTGCACTTGGCCGACCTGTCGCTGAACCCGTTCGTGCCCGCGTACCAGGCCACGACTGCCGCGGCGCTGCCGCCGCAGCTCGGCGAGTCCAAGGACGGGCACGCGATGCCCATTTTGATCCAGGCTTTAGGAGTTGAGGGGAAGAAGGACGATGGTAATGAAGGTGATGATAAACACGATGCGAAGGGAGGGAGGCAACAGGAGGGGGAGGGGGAGGAGAGGGGGGAACGAGGAGGGAAGAATGGAGAGAGGATAGAGGAGGGAGGGGAGGAAGAATGAAGAGCGATGGGAGGTGGCAGAACGGAGGAGGAGGATGACTAATAATGTTTAGACCCGTCACTTCTTTGATACAGTCGACGTGTGAAATATCGAAGACGCCTTCGGCGACCTCCTCCGCAAACCCTGCCTTTTGGAAATGCCAATGTGGATACCTTTTGGCCGTCAACTGGCCATTTGAGGCCGGATTCTCAACCGTCGCTGGGGCGCCTCGGGTCAATGTTGGAAGCAGTCGTTGGACGCCCTGGTACGTTTAAACGTTGTTGGGCTCCTTGCTGCCATCTTGGGGCATTCTCAAGTCCTCTTGGGCCAACGGCGGGGCCAGTGTGGGATCCTGCAGGGGCTCTTGGGGCCGTCTCGACCTCGCGGCGTCTTGGGGGGCCCTGATGTCCTTCGGCGGGGGCACGCCCGCGCGGCTGCTTCTGAAAGAATGCGTGCGGATTCTGCGAAAGCGCGCGCCATCGACGAGCGCGCTTTGGCAGAAGGCCGCGGAAGGGGGCACCAACGTAGTGCGCTAGTCACTAGACGTGCGGGTCTAAGACTCTAAGAGCCAGGAGGGCGAATGATATATCAAGCTGGGCCTTTCCGCCGTCGCTGCACCCCGCTAAAGCGATTGATAAGGAGGTTGGGGGGTGGGCATGGTACAGCGCCTCACAGCAACAACGAACAGCCCCGCGCAACATTCACCAACCATTAGCTTCAAACAAAAATGTGATAACGCCTGCCTTTGCGCCACTGTTTGGCAACATATAGAATGTGCTATCTGATCTATCTAAGGGCTGGCGTTGCAACGTCTGCAGCCAGCGCGTAAGCACCACTTTACGAACGCACAATCTTTTATCATCGCGCAGAGAACAACTTTTGCGAGGCCCACGGGGCGTGCCAGTGCCGCGCCCAAACAAGAACAAGCCCTTCAATTCGAAAGCATCGCGCCTCAGGCGCAAGTGGCCTACCGCGAACGCCTGCGCGCGAGCGCAATGTTTCCGCTGGAACACAGCACCAACGGGGTGCCGAGACTAAGCGGCGCCATGTGTGCCGCCGCGCAGCGCGACGACGCTGGGGACTTTGCATTTCTGCATGTGCACTCATGTTGAAGGTGCCATTGGCAGCGTGGGCGCCCGCGTCGCTGCGGCCGCGTCCGCTTCGGTGTCGTCGGCACAAGTGCTGCGCGCGACGTTGACACATGGGCCGCGCCGCTTTTTGCCCTATGGCAGCCCTACCGCTATTCCTGCCGACCTCGCAAAAATACCATGGTGAAACTGACGCCCGCGTGCGACCGACTGGCGCGGCTCCACCACGCGGCGCTGCACCTCCTTCGGCGACGCCCCGCCTACCGTAGATCCACCCGCGCGCGTTCCCGCGCGCAAAGGGCAGCTCGAACTGTCGTTTCCGCTCAGGGAACGCGCTCGCGCGTGGCCAGAGCGCGAAGCACGTCACTGTTGGCGTTGCCAAATCTAGCATCGGCGCGCCCGCTCCGAGGAATCTGTCCGCGCTCCCACCCGCCTGGCCACGTTCGAGGAGTTTTGCCCGAGTGCGTTGATCCTACCAGGCCAAGTTGGAGGGGTTTTGCCAGGGTTCGGCTCCATCGCCGCCCCGAGGAGCGGGCCCGCGCTGTTCCCACCTGGCCACGTTGGAGGACGTTTGCCCGAGTGCGTTGCTACCGCCTGGCCACGTTGGATGGCTGCTGCCTGGGTTCGGCCCCATCGCCTGCCCGAGTGGTAAATCAGCGCTGCCCCGCCAGGCCACAACAGAGGACATTCGCCCGAGTTCGACCCCTGCGCTGCCCCGGCGACTGGGCCAGCGTTGTTCCCGCCAGGTCACATTGGAGGACTTGTGCGCGTTTGCGTTGCTCCCACCAGGCCACGCGCGAGGACTTGCGCCCGAGCTCGACGCAAACGCCGCCCCGAGGACTAGGTCGCGTCGCTCCCGCCAAGCCACATTCGAGGAGTTGTGCCAGAGGGCGTTGACCCTGCCAGGCCACATTACAGGACTTTGCCCGAGTTCGACCCAGGCGCGCCCCCGAGGAGTAGGTCCGCGCTGCCCCTGCCAGGCCACATTACAGGAGTTTCGCCCGAGCGCATTGCCCCCGCCAACCCACCTTGGAGGAGGTTTGCCCGAGTTGGACCCCGCCGCCTGCCCGAACAGCGGGCCATCATGCGCAGAGCGTTGCCCTCCGCAAATGACTGCCGCGTCGCGTGGCGTTCGTTGCTCGTGAGAGATGGAGGGCCTCGCGCGTTTCTGGCTCGAGGGGGGGCGCTGTGAAGCCCTCCAGTTTCCTCCTGGGCGATCCAAGTGGTTGCTGGGGCCCCTCTTGGAGAGTTCTGCATATCCCGAGGCTTAGCCAGATAGTTGCGCATGTATCTCAAGACGCTGCCAGGCAACGGCTCCATGGAGACCTCTTGGCGCCCCACCAGGCCCCACCAATGAATTGTTGCTTGGGTTCGGCTCCAGCGCCTGGCCGAGCGGGGCGTCGGCGATGCGCGGCCAGCCAAGCCGTATTGTGGGATTTGCGATCGGGTTCGGTTCCAGCGCAGCCCCGAAGAGCAGGCCAGCGTTGCCCCCCCGCCAGGCCACGTTCGAGAAGGGTTGCCCGAGTTCGTTTCCCAAGCCAGGCCACGTTGGATGCATTTTGCCCGATGTCGGCCCCAACGCCCCCCCCTCACCCCTTCCGAGGAATAAATCAGCGTTGTCCCCGCCAGGCCACGTGGGCGGATAGTCGCCCGAGGGCGCTGCCCCCCCCCCCCCACCAGGCCACGTTGGAGGACGTCTGCCAGAGTTCGGCCCCAGCGCCGCCCAGAGCAGCAGGTCAGCATTGCCCCGCCTGGCTACAGCATGGGGCTGTTGCCCGAGTTCGGCACCCACGTATCTCCGAGGGACAGGCCCGCTTTGATGCCACCAGGTCGCATCAGAGGAGTGTTGTCCGAGCGCGCCGCCACCGCCAGGCCGCGCCAGAAGACGGTTGCAGGAATTCGGCGCCAGCACGGCCCCGAGGCGCGGGTCCGCGTCGCCGCCGACAGGCCGCGTCAGAGGAGCGTTGCCCGAGAACGTTGCTGTCGCGATGCCACGTTCAATGGCTTTTTTGGTCAATCTCGATTCCATTGCCGCACCGAGAAATTGGTTTGCGCAGCCAGGCCGCAGAACGTTGCCCGAGCGCGTTGCTCCCGCCAGACGACGTCAGAGGACGTCTGCCCGAGTTGGGGCCCATCGCCTGCCCGAGCAGCTGGTCAGAATTGCCCAGCCAGGCCGCGCCAGAGGACTTTTGTCCGAGCTCGGCCCCAGCGCCGCCCCGAGGGGGGGGCCAGCGGCCAGCGTTGCTTCCGCCAGGCCACGTCGGAGGACTGTTGCCCGAGCGCGTTGCCCCCGCCAGGCGCCATTGGAGGACTTGCGTGCCCGAGCTCGATTCCAGCGGCGCCCTCAGGAGTAAGCCCGCGACGCCCGCCGCCAGGCGCCATCAGAGGACGTCTGCCCGAGTGCGTCGCCCCTACCAGACCACGTTAGAGGGCGTTTGTCCGAGTTCGACCCCCCCCCCAGGAGTAGTATCGCGCTGCTCCCGCCAGGCCACAGTGCATGCTTTTTGCCGGAGTGCGTTGCTCCCATCATGCCGCGTTACATGAAGTTTGCTTGATTTCGGCCACGGGGCTTGCCCGAACCGCGGGCCGCCGCGCGCAGAGCGTTGCCAGCCGCAAGTGGTTGCCGCGTTGCACGGCGTTCGTTATTGGTGGGAGACGGGGGCCCGCTGCGCTCCCGACTCGGGAGGGGAGCGCTGTGAGGCCACTCTGCCCCCATGGGCTCTCTCAGCGGTCGCTGGGCCCCAGCTTCGGGAGCTTCGCGCCCACCAGGGTTGAGCCAGATAGTTGCGCATGTATCTCAAGACTTTGTCAGGCAACGGGTTCTTGGGGTCCTCTTGACGCCTCTCCAGGGCGCTTTAGATGACGTTTGCCCGAGTTCGGCTCCATCGGCACCGCGGGGCAAAACCGCGATGCCCCCGCCGCGCCACATCTGAGGATTTGCGCCCCAGTTCGACCCCAGCGCCGCTCCGAAGAGCATGTCAGCGTTGCCCCCGCCAGGCAACATTCGAAGAGTTTTGCCCGAGCGCGTTGCCCCTGCCAGGCCGCGTTCGATGACTTTTGCCAGAGTTCGGCCCCAGCGCCCCCCGAGGAACGGGCCAGCGTTGGCTC